TCTGACTACAATGCTTTCGCACCTTATCCTGTGCCTGAAATCCACAGAGTTGCTCTGGACTCCCTCATTCTTCAGGTAATAAGATTCTGTGAATAGCAGGTTAGTAGAATAGTAATTGATTTGTTTTTTAACTCTTCTGCATAAGTTTTAACTTCATCTATTCATTTCTGTTCTTGCAGATGAAGAGCATGTCTCTTGGAGATCCACTCTCCTTTGTTTTTATTGATCCACCCCCGGCTGCAAGTATCCAGAATGCTGTTTTTTATCTAAAGGAACAGGGGGCGCTAGACAGTCGTGGTGAACTGACGTCTATTGGTAGTTTGCTGGCACAGCTTCCCGTTGATGTGGTCATAGGTAAGATTTCATACAGCAGAACCATGTTGGAGTTTGTTTGTTTTGTTTTGTTTTTTCCTAAGTCACTTTTCGGATGCTTGCAAGAGAGAGAAATAAAGTGGAAGAAATAACAAGAAAGTTTTTAACATGTTAAAATACGTAATATACATAATTTAAGGCTTTTCTTTCATTAAAAAGTAATTATACAAAGTTTCACACGGATAGACGGTGACACAGTGTTGGTCTTGTGATCATCCATCAGCTGGATTCAGGTTAAGCACGTTTGTGTCTGTTTAGGGAAGATGCTGGTGCTGGGCTGTTTGTTTAACTTGGTGGAGCCCGTGCTGACGGTGGCAGCAGCCCTCAGCGTTCAGTCACCTTTCCTGCGTAGTTCACAGCACAATCCAGATTGTGCCACTGCCCGGCAGCCCCTGCATAGCAACCAAGGAGACCCCTTTACCCTCCTCAACACTTTCAATGCCTGGGTGGAGGTCAGTAAAATAAGCATCATGTTGTGTTGGATGTTTAATATTATTAGAATCAACACTGGAGCAGTTAGGTCATAAAATGGTCTTCACTGGACACAAAACTGATTTTGAAAACAGGTAAAAGGGGAGAGAGGTGGTGGATCAAGAAAATGGTGCAGAAGGAGAGGCTTGGAGGAGCAGCGGCTGTATGAGATGGTGAACCTACGCAGACAGTTCAAGGCAGGCTCCTCACAAAGCATTTCATACATTCATAAAACATTTTCAGGCTTTTTAGCGATTGAGAACGAGCATTGAAATCCCTCTCATTATTAGGACTTGCTGAGGAGCCACAGCCTGCTGGAATCAGAAGATAGCACTCCCTCTGGTGGTGACCGTGTGCAACGCAGGGAGAGGCTAACTGAGAGGAGAAAGCTGCATCAGCTGAAGAGAGATCATGAACAGCAGGAGGGAAGCAAACGTAAAGTCCTGAGGTTGGAGGAGGGTCAGGAAGGAGACTCTTCAGGATCAGACACAGAGGAAACAGGAAGGTCTAAGAGGAACAAGGAGGGGTCTGGACAGAACTTGGACATACAGGTATCTTAGAAGGTGTAACAGAAAAAA